CCCCCCCCCCCCCCCCCGAGAATAACACACCCACCACAGCGTCTAAGTTTTTGTTCGCTCAGATAATTCGGCCGCGAGTTCCCCTCCACCTGGAGCCTTTGGGTGACGGTTCCTAGGTATTTTTGTGGCTTCGCGAACAAGTCGCGAAGATACGATCCACGGCTGGCTGCTGACGGGAGTTGGGGGGCAGGCATGGCATGTCACACGTACACCGCTGTGGTAGAGGGACGAAAGGAATTATGAGGGAGGAGGAGGAGGCAAGCGTACAGTTCGACGGTTTGGCTACCGCCACCGCGGCCACTGCCGTTGCCGCGACTCTTCAGAAGACGCGAACAGCAATTTGCTAGCTAGCACTGACTGTGTTGAATATTTCAACGCGTTTTGTCGTTCGCATCCACGCTAGACTACTGTATTTTGCTCCGAGTGGGCCAGACCACTATGCATACCACCTCCAGCTGCTGCTGGGTCGGCGAGACATGAAGATTTCGACAAAAATCCAAATCAGGCAAGACATTTGTCCAGTTTGTCCAGGAGCTTGAGGAACAACAACATAAAACAAGAATAGGAACGCGGGTGCTTTCGTCGCCTTCCCAAAGTTAAAACTAAACTCAAGGCAACAGCAGCAGCGTCCACCGCTACAACAACCAACAGCGAAGAAACGCGCGGTTGGCAAGAGCCAGGCGTGAACGAAAACAAGCAGTCAACCAGCGAGGGTTGGGTTCTGCAGGAAACCATCACCCGTAACTTCAACACCGCGAGAAGAGAACAAAACCAGTCTAGTCCATGCATATATCACAGCACCTAAAACTCCCTCGGGAATAGTCTAAATACTACAGACAACAGAGCGCAGATGACATGAACGTATTCACAAAAAAAACAACTTCATCGTAAGCCATCGTAAGCCATCGTAAGCCATCTGACGATCGAGGCACAACGCCCTTGCCCAACCTCCACTAACAACACGAGTCCTTTTCCCCTCGTGCTGCTACAGAGACAGACGCCGTCAAAGTGCTCTCTCTCTCCTCCAGCTCGCTACATTATCATTCATTGCATCCATCCACCCTTCCTTGTGGTTCGGCAGCGTACGTACGTACTACGTTGTTCTCTTGCCGCGCGTTCGTTGAAAAACACCGCCTCCTGTACCCCTGCACATGATTCACGATACTACATTAGCGCCACGGGTAGGTACTCTTGCGTACCGCTAGCCAACCAGCGGCGACAGACGTCTTGATTCGCGGCCTTTACGCTGAGTCTCCCCCCACAACAATCCGGCAGCAGTGGGTCTCTCAAACGTCTACATCTGTTGCAGCACACGCAACAGCAGCGAAGAAAGGAGGCTACACACAGCCGCCGGTGGGTTGACCGCGTTCTTCTCCATGCGCGGGAGTCTCTCGCGGTCGCTCGCTCTCTACGCTGTCGAGTGATTTTCTAAGAAAACGAACAGGCTCAAGTCTTTCTGACAGTAGCGCAGCCGGGATCTCGATCCACTCTGCCAGTCAGTCGGTTTTACCTTTGCCTATTCCTGAGCGTACAGCCGCTCGAATTTAGCCCGCCACTTACGGATGTCATCCGGCGTCAGCACGGGTCCAGCGTCCTCCCCTGCGTCGCGTCGTCCGTGAGGTGATGACGTCAAGTTCAAAGGGTCGAAGCCCAGATCCTTCTTAGTCTTTCGGGGGGCTTCGGGCACGACGTCGGCGGGGATCATCCGGATGCCGAAGCTGTGGTCCAGGCAGAAGCGTTGGAGGTCCTGCCAAGGCGTGGATCAAGCCAATACTTAGTGAGGCAGATATGGTACCAAAGGTTACTTTGTCATTCGCAGGGAGAGAGAGAGGATCAAAAGAGCCACTAAGAAAAAACTGGTGTGGGGGAGAAAATAAACAAGGGGGGTCGACAGTTAAGATATTAGTGGCGGTGACCTCGGTTCAGTGCGCTTTCAACACGTTTTCCATCGTTCCTGTTGAAAACGTGAAAAGAAGGTGTGTTTGATTTGGGTCATCAACCAAAAAAAAAATTGTGCACTGCCCCCCACCCCGTCATACCATGTTCCTGCCTGGTTTTGCATACACGTAGGACGAGCCAAGATCGCGGACGGTTTTCATCCGACTTGACTCTGTCCGCAGCCCCCACATTGTCGTTTCCGCACGACTCAAAAACGAAAAAGCCAGACAAGTGAACAAGCCCATCCATCCGTAACCCATGCCAACAAAACACACATGTATTTTGTGCCGCGCATGATACGCCTACCCACCGTCATTGAGACGCGCGTCGGTGTCGGGATTCCCAGTCCTTTCTCCTTCAGCTTGAAGGCGTAGCGCAGCGCCCCTTCCCGCTCTTCAAAGGCCAACGCAGAGTTGGTGCCCTTGGACCACAAGCAATACAGTCCTCGCTGTGGCTCGCTGCTGCTGCCAAAGGACCCAGAGCCTTGACTGAAAAGAAGGACCCAAACCGCGCGCGGTAGTAGGGTGGGGCGCTGATTCGGGAGGGCAGGTGGTTCAAAGGGGCGGGGGGAGCGTCGGTTATATATTTTTTCGTACTTCAGAGGCTTGTTGACTACATACATACATCATCGGATCATCGTTATTGTGTTGTCTCCTGCGGATCCAAAGTACGTTATCGTGCCCGCACGGACGGCTTGTGTTGGATGTTGCTGCGCGCACGCGCGGGCGAGCGCTGGTGCGTCTCAGTACGCGGTGCTGGTAATTCCTAGATTACCATCGACTATCTTGCAAGTACACACGAACGTACCGCGCGGTGTTCCGATTCTGTGGACGCCACCCAGCGGATGCTTTCGCCTTGTCTGGGTGTTCTCTTGCCCGCCCCTCTGCTTCTCTTGATAGAGTCGATTTGCCGTCTGATAGCGGCAGAACCCACGCTGTCTGGGATGCTGGACTGGGCGTCGAGGGGATCGATGTTGTGGTCGCCTAAGGTGATGGCGATGATGAGGTGATGAGGAGGTATGGACCAGGGGGTGCATGTGTTGTGGTAGTCGCATTGAAAAGTGGACATGCCGAGTGTTTTGCGCACTACTGTACTGTAGTACCCTATTTTTCCTTATCATGCGTGTGTGCAGAATTCCTTGCGCATCGATCGGGTGCAACAGGGTGTGTAACCCACACATCAGTTTTTGGAGACGATGTACATCAGGTATTTGCACATATCAATCTTCCCGCACCATCACCAGCTACAACGTGCGGTCGCGTCTACGGACGAACACAGCAGGAGCTTTTCCAAGCAGATCACAACGGCTTGGTAGCAGGAAGAGCTAATGAGCGGAATCGCTGCATGGGGTCCTCGGCAAAAACGAGAACAGAGCGAGGTGGTGTTTGTCCCATCTATATTTTTAAAATACTAGACAAACCTGGGGGAAGCCCCTCTGCCGCCATAGTGACAACTCGCCGGCCCTGTTGCCCTGAGTACAGCAGTCTTGTACTTGGGGCGACAGCGGCAGACAGTCTAAACGCCGAGGGCGTGACGAAAGCTGATGTGGGGTGCAGCACGCGCATGTTTCGGCCGGCAGAGGTGACGGTGGTGGGCGGCAACACATGCAGGCACACCTTTGCGGGATTCCTATCCGCGCGCGGTCTGCGGATAGATACCGGAACGCGTGTGTGACCTAACAAACAACACCTACTTGCAGATTGCTGTTGTAGGCAGAAAAATGCGTTCATTCATCGAGGAGTGCCAACGACTTGGTCGAACGCAATGCTTGACGGGAATCTCCCTGTGAGTCCTTCCTGGTACAATCTCTAGATTTTCAGTATTTAGCCCGATGTACAGCCGGTGGGTGTACAGGGATGAGAGAGAAGTTTACCGAGGTGTGAAGATTGTTGTTCAGTGGAAAGAATCAGTCAATCCATCCAGACCGGAGGGAGCGAGACGCATTCACACACAGCTTAAGCACAACAACCATACAACAGGACACCATCCATTGGTCTAGGGCAATCCAGACACACGGGGGCGGCCATCTCGTCGCTTCCCTCGAGGCCCGTAGATCTTTTAGATATTCACATGCGGTGGGTGCCACAACGCCACGCCACCATCTTCAACATGAGAATCCCGTTGTTGCCAACAGAGGGGCGATTCATGATCGATCGCACAGATGGACTGGGGTGCTCCGGCGTCTACATGTACAGAACAAGCACACGACAGACCTGCTGGCAAGATTTGGCCCTGATTACTTTCTGCTTTCCAGCGGTGCTGGTACCCCTCCGGAGCTGTTAGTCTGGGTAGCGAGCCGCCGTTTTTGAAAAAGAGCGGGTTTTGTTGCAATTTGTTTGTTTGTTTGTTTGTTTGTTTTCTCCCATCATTGGACTCTGTCGTCTGCCCCTCTGGCCCCTATCCTCCACTTCTACTAGCTAGACGACCCAACCGGGTCACATAGGAGGGGGGGGTTGGACCCCCTCCTGCGGCAATGTATCTCAACGGTTGTTTATTCCTTACCTTCGGCTCTGGTGATCATGACGAGGAGGGCAATGCCGCATACGCAACGCATTTTGTACACAAGAGACGCGGGAGTGAGTGCCGTATGGGTTTGCTACGCCCAAGACCTGGCCCGCGATATCACAGGGTGTGTGTGTGTGTGCAAGGGTGTCGTGGGAGAGGAGGGCAGATTGCTGCAGCGCGGACAGAACATTTTTTTTATTTCGAGACTGTCATGAGGTTCAACCTTGCAATTGTTTGAACAAGCCAATCAGCTACGAGTTAATTTTGTTGCCCCTCAGAAAAGTTCGCGGACAGACTCGCCGACAGACTAATAGACACCCCGGCTCCCCAGCTTCTTGTCTTCTCCCTTTGGGCTAAGCACACACCCTGCGCTCGAGTTGACAAATGAAGCGTATTTCGTGAAACCAGCTTGCCTGTACACGCGTACACATACAAGCGCGTCTTCGGTTCGAAACACGTGTGGCGAGGCGTGTGTGCGCGTAGTGTTGGGGAGCCGTCTCTCTGCTGGCATGAGCGTATCGGGAGCTAAGGAGGACAAGCCCATCACCACCGTCGTGGAAGAAGATGGGTACCTCCTATGGCTCTCGGACGACGATATGAACTCTACGGCAGGTGAAGTCCAGGCGATCTGTGTACCCACATGACTGAGACTTCCTGAATTTCTGCTTCATCGGACACGTTTATGAGCATTTGCCGCTTTACTTGTCTCAATCCGTGATACAGCAGTCGACCCCGCTTCAAGGACGCACATGGTTTTTCCCGACAAAAAGCGTCCTTAAAGCGGGGTTGCGTCCTTACAATTAAGGGGACGATAGCTCACGATCCCCGGGACCAATGGAGGCATGCTATACCTCAAACTACGCGTCTTTTGCTGAGGAAGGGTGTGGTACGAAAAGTCACAGCATCGCTGAGACGACTGGCAACCGCTTGTTGACGTCGAACATATTTACAATACACTTCAAATGAGATGTACAGCAGAGCAGTCGGGGACGGACGTGTTGAAAAAGACTAAAGTACAGTACAAGTTTGTACTTGACCAACTAATGTACGGCATAGCCGGCAGCGGAAGATGGAGGAAAGTCCAAGGAGACATATACATGTGAAACAAAAAAAAAACGAGCGTATTTCAGCGTCGTACCGAGGAACACCAGTTCATATAACAGCTGATTGGCCGAAAAACCATTGTTCCCATTTCGGAAGAAATCTCCATCGGGTACAACTACCGCTGGCATTAGGACCCTCTGGTGTGACCGATATTGGTTACTGGTGTTCCCGGAAAAGGTCGATTTTGTACCCAGAAATAGTTATGTAATCCCGGCGCCCGACGCTCTACCATAAAACCCGCAGACGAAACGTGTACCGCACATACATACCGTATACCGCATCTACACGCATACCCACAACCAAACCACCAACAACGCTCGCTCGTTCATCGTTCATGGGCACCGCCCTCATAGGATACTGGCCTCTCTCGACAGAGGGTCGGACTCACTTGACGCGCGAGTTCGTTTGGTGGTGGCGCTGATCAGTAAAAACACAGAGAGAGAAAAAACGGGCAGGACATGCCTCGTGCATCATGCTTCCGAGGCACAGGACACAGGACGCAGACAACAGTTTGTTGGTTTCGCCGCGATCTACGGCGGATGCTGTCGGAGATTGGTGTTGTGTTGGTTTCCAGGTGTACCCTGAAATGGTGATAATCCACCCGGGTATACCCGTTTCTGGTCACTTTTCATTTTTTTTGGCGGCATCAGATTGACCGCGTAGATGGGAGGAACTACCCATACTACATATATACATACTACATATATATATATCGAACACCCAGTTTCAGCTGCAGCAGCAGACCGGTCGCGACTTCTGCTGTGACACTGTGGTGCGTGGTGCATGCAAAGAGCGGCACGCAGGATACAAAAGGGGGTACGCAGCAGAAAAATGGTAGTACCCCATTATCGTACCTTCTGCCGGGCCCCCTGGTGCTCCGCCAAAAAGTTTCCTTAAGGCGGAGCGTTTCCTTCATGCGAGCGTCCTTAAAGCGGGGTCGACTGTACTTCCGTTCACAGGAAGTATGTGGACATACCCAAATTTACAGCAGTAGCACGCTGCCTAGCTGAGTGTCTCTCGCTCATTACGGGCGGCTCGTTTGAAATCGAGACAAAAACTCGTTCATTCTGTCTGCCTGCGTTAACTTCGGGCGTATTTTACCGGCGGTGCTTGTTGGCTGCAATAATTGTGCAGCTCCTCCTACCATCGTCGCGCACACGAGGAGGTACAAACAGTTTGTTTTTCGCGCTCAGCAGTTACGTTACGAACCCGCCGAGTGTATCGCGCGCCCGCTCTCTCATCTGACCAAAATGTCCCGGCTTCAACAGCAGTGTATGCTTTATCCATCGCACCTCAGAAGTCGTGTCTTTGATCAACATAATGCGATCGTCTCCTGCTGGTGAATGTTCACAGGCACCGCAGACCGGGCATCCGTGATCGAGGCCGAATCGGGCACCTCTGTGCCGCGTTCGACTGCATCGAGGCCGCCCAGTACTGCCGTAACTATCGTGGAGAGCATCAAGGCAATGCAACAGCAGTTGGTGGACGTCTCCCTGAACGGTGTCAATCCAGTAGCCTCCGATGCCGCGATGGCAAGGTACAGAGGGGCTGTAGAAAAATTCGAGGCTTCGCAGAAAGCTTTGACGACCATTGCGATGAGCCTGAACGCCGCGCAGCGGGATACCCTCAAAGCGTCCGACGAGGTCATTGAAGCGGCCAGGGAAGCGTTCGGTGAAGACCCTGAAGCTCCTTCAGACTCCGCTTCCGGCAGCGCACAGATGAACCCGTCTTCTTCTCTATCGCAGGAGAAACGCTCATCACCGTGTTCATTGTCACAAGAAGTGAGACAGGTCAATCTGAGACTGGCAAGGGTTGAGCAGCAACTTGCTCTCATCAACGTCCCTTCTGGCAGCAACGCTGGTACGCAACCTCGAGCGGAGGCATCCGGGTGGAGGGTCAGCCGTGGTGTTTATTTGCTACAGCAATTGGTGGCTGGGAGCGCTGCTCACTCGAAAAAGTCGCTCGCCGGGTGAACGTAGTGCATTAGACTTGATTGAGTGTGCATGGCGATCGATGTGGCGTTCGAAATATGACGCAAGTTGTTGGCGGGTGTGGGGCTTGCAACACGTCAAGCAGGGGTGGGACTGACAACGAACGGTGCAAGAGTTGAGCTCGGATTGCTTTGCAGGCGTCAATGACAAGAACGAAGTGCTGGGCGGTGGATAGGGAAAAATGCAGACAGCACCGTGCTTCGCACCTGTATACCTGTATTCTGTTTTTCTGGGCCGAGATGCCGCCCGAAAGGTATATCCTGGTTGTTAACCTTCATAGGGACTGCTACATGATCATAAAAATCATTCTGGTGTTTTGTGAACCCTGTGCAACGCAGATCGATATCCGCCAACGTCACCGATGGTCGCCGCTGCTAGCAAGAGACTCCGGAGACTTCTGCAGAGGCACCTCCGCGTTACGGAGAAGGAGACTTCTGCCGCCGGCGCTGCCGCCAGCGATGGCGACTACGCGAAGCTGACGGTCCACGGCTACCACCAGAACGCGCAGGTCCTCGTCGACACCTACCGCTGCTCCGGGAGCGCGTGTCGAGTCTTCATCCTCTTGCGGGAGTACAAACGTTTCGCGGCGCAGAAGGCAAAGAAGGACGCGTCCGTGGTTACCCATTTCCACAACATGGCTACCTCCAGGTACATCCATCCGACCAGGTCTCAATGAGTTAAGACTCCTGCGGGAGTGGCCGTGGCCGTACGTAGGAGTGCCACAGCCGAAGTGCGGTGCAAGGCTAAGTGCTTGGTGAACGAAGGGGGCCATCCGATTCACAGCGTAGCATCAGCAGCAGTGCAAGAATACCGTTGTGCCGATGGAGATTTCCCGTCAATCTTCAAGAAGCAACTACTCTACGTTTCAGTCTTTATGTTGTGGTCGTCAAACCATGGCGTGGAGCAGCTGATGATCCAACGACCGTGCTCGCTCGTGGAAAAGCGAAAAGTAGATGTGGTGGCACATGCCCTAGCTGACCAGTTGAGTGCAGAACGTCGAGCTGCAGGCGGGGTGTCGCACAACCGAGAGACGTTTTGGTGCTGCAGCTGGGCAAACGTTGCCGCCCTCCCTGCCCCGTTCGCTCATGCATAACCCTACGTACATGGTATGCAGACGTTTCTGTGGACTCGCGCTGTTGCGTCTCTACGCAGGTACGGCAGCCTACTCGCCGAGCGGGACGAGTTCATGGGCGTGCTATGGTAGGCTACGCTACACAAGTTCGCGAGAAGACGGGCCAGCTGCGCGCCCCGGACCCGTCGATAAGCCGACCTTAGCCCGACCCTTTTCTGGGTCGACAAGCAGCAGCGGTAGTCTAGGCGTAACTTTCTTTCTCCAACCCTGCATTTCTCAGTCGCAACAGAGGAGAGGGGAAGGATTCTGGACAAGGAGGAGGCAAGACCGTAGTCACGGATGGCGTGTACAATCGCGGAGGGTCGATCCACACGCTCTGCAAGTTGGAAGAAAGAACAGTATGAGCGAATAAAAGGGCAAGCTACGATAGGAGAACACGGTGTAGCTCCACCCTTTCAACAACCAGTTGACTGTAAGGACTTCAACCCACCCCCTTCGGCTGTGATTACATCTTGACCAGGTGCAGTGTGCATCCCCTCTGATTTTATGTATTGTTTGTAAAAAGTTAACGTTACTATGCATACGTAGCACGCTTGTTCTTGTTCTTTGCTTGCTCTTGTTCTTTTGTTGTTTGAGACCCTCGGGAATGGTCTCTCTCTCATCTCAACCTGGACGGTAACGAACTAAAATACCTCGTAGCACGCGTACTGAATGGCGTGTTGCCTGTGACTGCACAAACACATCGAAACAAAATCAAACCCAGCACCCTATATCTTACATCCACAAAAAAAGATGGTATCCCCTCAACAAAATAATGACACCACCAAACAAAACATCAATCAATACTGCTTCAATCCCCCCAGCTGCCACAGAATTGCCCCATCCGTGTTGCCCCTCTCCTCCCACACCCCGTGCTTGAGGGCGGCGGCGCGGTAGAGGCCGTAGGCCGCATCAGCGGACGTCA